CCTCCCTCCCCTAGTCCAGGAAGCGCCTGCGTGAGCCCGTCCGGGAGCGGTTCGAACGGCGAATGTCAAACTTGGAGTCCCGGCACTTCTGGCATATGTAGACCTCTGGGACGTTCGACTTGCGGATTTTGGCGCAGGAGAGGTGGATCCAGGTGTGGCACTCATTACACTCGATCATCGGCCGCCCGGCGAAAGGCTTCATGCAGAAGCAAGTGACTAGGTCCCACGAGTCGTCATCTGCAAAGAGAAATGGCAAGCTACGTTTTTAACGGCCAACACCGCTCACCCACACTAGGAATTTACTCTCCTTTTGCACCAAATTAACTACCTGGGTTTGAGAGACAGGCGCTTTGCCAATTTTTTCCACGTCTTAAGAGAAACTAGTCTCTCTTGCACGGGAAGAGACTTTCGGCAGCGTGTGAGAGGCCATAATCCAGGAGAGGGGAACCGGCTGCTTCTATAAAGTCACAGCTTTTTGCTGTATTGCAAAAGCAGCCAACCGGCCCTCCCCTTCCCCCGAAAACCCAACCGCTACTGAATTCTGCCCAGGCAGTGCACCTTGATGTTATCCTCATGCTACAGGTAAAGTACCGAAGAGACCGGCAACGGCTCCACCACTTCCACCTGGCTAACCCTCTTCCGACAGCCAGGCCACCTACCCGAATCCACCATGATGTCCTCATCGTCGCCGGTGCCGTCCTCATCCCGAAAGACCACCTGCTTGCCCTGCCGGATGACCGTTCGCTTGCCGACGCTCTGGATCTCCACCGTCTGCTCGGCCGTCACGGCAGGGTAGGAGACGCTGGACGGCATGTCAGAGTCCCACGCCGAGCAGTGCTCGGCCGCAGACGGAGGGTCGCCCTCAGACGAGGGGCTCATCGGCGTCTCCGCGTAAGAGTCCTCCGCCTCCAGGTCCAGCAGCTTCTCCTCGTAGTCCTCCTCCGCAGACACCTCCGTTTCCCTCCTCTTCAGCTTCTTCTTCTTCCTGATCTTATCGATTTGCTTTCGCTCCGGTAGGAAGTTGCCGGGTTTTGCCCGCTGGAACAGGGAACCGTACGGTTTTGCCCGCTTGAGCTGGCTGAAATTCTTTCTGTTCTTGGCGGGCAGGGACACGGAAGAGGGGATATCATTGAAGCGGGGGTCCCAGCTATCGCTGT